TATCTCGGTGCTGCCTTGGAAGAGGATCGTGGCCGTGTCGGCCAAGAAGAAGAACTCCAAGAAGGTGCAGCCCAACAGCAGCTACCAGAACAACATCACACATCTCAACAATGAGAACCTGAAGAAGTCGCTGTCGTGTGCCAACCTGTCCACATTCGCCCAGCCCCCACCGGCCCAGCCGCCCGCCCCCCCTGCCAGCCAGCTCTCCGGTTCCCAAACCGGGGTCTCCTCCTCTGTCAAGAAGGCCCCGCACCCTGCCATCACCTCCGCAGGGACGCCCAAGCGGGTCATCGTCCAGGCGTCCACCAGCGAGCTGCTGCGCTGCCTGGGCGAGTTTCTCTGCCGTCGGTGCTACCGCCTGAAGCACCTGTCCCCTACGGACCCTGTGCTCTGGCTGCGCAGCGTAGACCGCTCGCTGCTTCTGCAGGGCTGGCAGGACCAGGGCTTCATCACGCCCGCCAATGTGGTCTTCCTGTACATGCTCTGCAGGGACGTGATCTCCTCCGAGGTGGGCTCCGACCACGAGCTCCAGGCCGTGCTGCTGACCTGCCTGTACCTCTCTTATTCCTACATGGGCAACGAGATCTCCTACCCGCTCAAGCCCTTCCTGGTGGAGAGCTGCAAGGAGGCCTTTTGGGACCGCTGCCTCTCTGTCATCAACCTCATGAGCTCCAAGATGCTGCAGATCAATGCCGACCCACACTACTTCACACAGGTGTTCTCCGACCTGAAGAACGAGAGTGGCCAGGAGGACAAAAAGCGGCTCCTCCTAGGGCTGGATCGGTGAGCCCTGTAGCCCCGCATCATGGCTCAAGGATTCAATTCATTTTTAAAAAATTATTAAATCAGATTTTATGTACAGTATGTCTATCAAAGCCACCAAGGGCCTCTCCCGGCCCACCTTCTCTCTTTGGGGTTTTCTTCAGCCCTGCCAAGAGCTCTGGGCGCTTTGGAACTCCTGAACCTTGTGCAAAACCCAGAAGATGTATTCAGGCCCCTGACCTCCTACTTTGGGGAATTCAAAGGACTGACCTGCTTCTGCCGCCTGCGCCCTTGCTGGACCGGGGCAGGTGAGGCTGGCTGCTGGTCCCTGCCTGGGAACTGGAGAGGGGGCCTCTGGCCAGGTGGCCCAGGGAAGAATTAGCGCTTCTGGTTGGAGGCCCTGTTCTGGCTCCTGTTTCGGGTTGTCCATTCTCCCAGAGGTTCCTGGAGCAGCCACCCTGACTGAACTGCGCTTTGGGTTGTGAGGCAAGATGCCTCTTCAATCGCGGAGAAGCCGGTCTGGTGCCAAGATTGCGTCCTGTTGTTGGGCCGCACACAACCCTGGTTTGCTCTTTTTTCTTTTTTAGGGAGAAAGGCTTTCCTTTAGTGGAGACATGGAACTTGTCCCCCAGTCCCCTTGTCCCCCGTTCCCAGCTGTGTTGGTAGTATTGGTTAATGAGCTGGTTTGACTCATTTCTTTTATTTTGGGTCCCAGCGAAAGAGGTGGCGGTGAAGCTGGGGACAGCTCCTTTTCCTGGGTGAATTTTTCATTTGAATAATGCAGCTTAGTCACCCTGTGGCGAAGGCCAGGACAGCTGCAGGTGCCCGTTGTCAACCGCTTGCCTTCTGGGCAGGCCGGGGTGCCATGCCTGAGACCAAGCCGGTGCCCACCTAAGGGCCAAGGCCTCTCACTGGTGCACATGACATTTGTTCTGCAGAGCTGGAGGGTGCGGGGGTGGTCACGATGGACCCCCACCCCTACCCCTGTTAATTTAAAGCTGTTTCCAAACAGTTGAGTGTCTTCAGAAGATGAAGGCTTGCCCGGCAAGGCTCAGTGAGACAGACAGCTGGATCTTGGGGACAATTAACAAGACGGGAGTAGAACTCTTGATTGCTTTGGAAGCCTGCTGATTCTACAACTGATCGTTTGCAGCTGCTGGTTTGGGTTTCCACTTTAGCGGCTGTAAAAACACATGATGTGTACTTAATCAATTTTCTTCCTAATTCTCCCAGATTGGTGGCTTGGGACTTGGGAAAGGACCAAGAGAAGGGAGCAGTCTTCCTCCATGGCCCATCACTCCGGCTTTGGGGGACAAAGACCAGTGTGAATGCTACAGAGAATTCTCTCTCCCCAATCCCCCAGGGAGTGCTGGAATGGGTGGCTGGGGGTGGGGGTGGGGCAGAGGGTCGATTTACATAGGATTAGGTCCCTGGTGGCTATTTCAGCACAAGCACTACTGAAATTCACGTGAAAAGAAAGCTGTGAAATTGAGGTCCCGGTTTAAGAGGCCTTGGAGCAGAGCTGGCTGGGCCCGGGGTAGGCCCAGATATGAGGAAGAGGGCCTGCCCGTGCCGGGGAGAATTTGCCTCAGCTGTGCCTCGAGGCCCATGTGCTGAGCCCTTTCTGGGATGGCCAGATGATCTGATGCAGAGCTGGAAGGAACCTGCAGCTGCTGGCACAGACTTCACTGCAGCGCCTGTTCTCTGCTGGAGTTGTCACACAGCCTGTCTGTTCAGATCCTGCTGCCACGTGTGACCTGAGGTAGGAGGCCCTCGGGGGCAGCGGCTCTGGGCGGCCTGGAAGAGGCTGGTTCGGTGCCGAGTTTCAAGAGGAGGGGAGTGTGTTTGCAGTCCCTCGGTTAGCTGGCTGAACTTGGCCTGAAACTGTGCAGTTAAGTTGCATCCACAGGATTCCAGTTTTGTGCGTTTCCTTCTCTTTCTCCATATTTATTTTTTTAGTTTTTGGAGGAGGTGCAAATTTCAGGAGTGGTTGGGGACTAAGGACGTAACTAACTCTGGTTCCATCAATGTGAATGAAGCCTGTGGTATTCTCCCCCACTCCTTGTATTGGCCATCAGTATTGTGTAAAGGAACTGATACACTTAAGTGTGAAAAGCAATGAACCCATTTGACATGCTGCTATGAAGACTACTTTTAGGACAACAACAACAACAAAACAAAAAAAAAAAAGAAAAAAAGAAAAAACTAACCAACAACAAAAAAAAACCCCCTTATTCTTTAATTGTTGATTTTACAGTGATATTGTGCATGCAAACCAGGAACATTTTGTGTCGTAAGAAAAATAATCTTAGAACAGATGGCTGTGAAAATTATACCCTTGCACAGGACAAGTCACAGGAATAATAGTTCAGGATTTGGTTTTTACTCTTTCTTGTAAAGCTGAAGGGTTGATATATTCTTTCCATGCAGTTATTAGAATTTAGTTTTGTTCCAACAGTTGTTAAACTTGCAATGAAAAGAAAATGTGCCATTTTTTTCACTTGGAATTCTTCATAGCTGTATATTTGAAACTGCTAATTACACAACGTGCGATGTATGTTGGTTTTTTAGTGCAATTTCTTCTGTAGCTATTCTTTGACCAAACTGTGGGTACTGTTAATATTAATTTATATTTGTCTCATTTTGTATGTATGTGTAGTGTGTTTGTAAGTATGTGTGGTTTATAATCTGACAAGGTCATGAAGCTCAGTTTGGCTGTAATTTAATTCCCCTCCCCTTATTTTTATTTATTTTTGTACCGTGCTGATTAAATAAAATGCACTGACCATCCATTACACGGACCTCTTTTGTGGGCACATCATTCACGAGCAGGCTGGGGGCCTCTTTTTTAAATGACTTCTGCACTCAACCTAATTGGATTTATGTTATGGGGGAGGGCTTAACGAGCACGTGGCTGTTGAGGTGATTACGAAAGAAGCACAGGTTAAAGAAGCACAGGTTAAGTCAACTCTGCTTTAGTTGCTGGGTAGGGCCGGAGTGGCTCCCTGGGCTTGGTGGAGATGGGTGACTGGGACCTCTGGCCAGGGAGGATCAGGCCCAGGCATAGCCTGGTGAGGGCCGGCTGAGTGGTCCTGCAGGGGCAGCACGCCTTAAACCTCCTTTGTGGAGCTTGGCTCTAAGGCTGCTGCCCCATGTGCCCTGGGCCTGCAGCGCCACTGCCCAGAGGCTCTCAGGCTTGGTGTCCTGGTGGTGCACCCCCTGCCCCTTTTGCTCTGCAGGTTTCTATGAGAGAGATATCTGGCCCTGGGACTTCCAGATAAATAGCCACCCAACCCATAATGGTGCAAGGGTGGGGCCCCCTGCAGCTGTACAGGCAGACTTTGGAGATACTGCGGGTTCGGTTCTAGACCATCGAAATCGAGCAAGTATCACAATAAAGCGAGCCAATCTTTTTGCTGGTGAAGGGTCATGCCTTCCAGTTGGTTAAAAATGCAATGCCTGTGAGGTGCAATACAACGAGGTGTGCCTGTATTGCCACTGGTCTCTACCCGCTCATGCCACCGGCCTAAGCGTCAGGACTCGGTCCTCCCCAGGCCCTGCACCTGTTGTCTGGAGCTGCCCCTGGGCACGAGGAAGGAATTTCTGCTCAGGTTGCCACTGGAGAGCTGTCAGCCTTGTGACGAGGGCCACTCGCTTTCTTCAGGGCATTTCCCTTGGTCTGAGTCACAGAAGCCTTGCTGCATATTCTCGCCCACCGATGACTGGGTAGCAGTCTGTGGCTGCCAGGCCCTCGCCTCATCTGCAGCTCCCGCCACCCTGAGAGGCCCTGATTCCTCTCTCGCCCATTTATTTTCCTGCCATTCCCACTGTCCCCCAACCAGCCAGCTTGGGGAGAGCCTGCCTGGCTGCCATTCAGTCTTCTCCCCAAACTACAGCCATAGGAATCCCAGCCTTTCCTTTATAAATACGTGCTTTGATTTCAGTCAACATGCAAGCATGGAACTTGGAGTCTAGCGCGCAGGCCTCAGAAAGGCGGAAGAAAGTGTTGGAACGCCATTGTCTTTCCCCATTCCTTCCTTCCTGCTGCTTCCCAGCTTCCTTCTTGCTCGCCATATAGTATTTTTGTTCAAATGCCTCAGGTAGATTATCCTCCATTTTCCCTTACGTGTACTCAATGCTCCGTTCCATCTTCTGGGATAACAGTTGACTTCACGCAAGCTAAAATTTCACAATTATTGGTCGTTTTCAATGACAGATAAGCAGAACACCTTTAAAAATAAGATTGAATGCTTTATTGCTCTTGATGATAAATCAAAATATGCTTTAGAAATAGTTAATTTAATGGAAAATAGGAATATATGCACCAAACCATAAACCGCATTTAATTAAATCAAGAGAAACACTTCATTGCATACAATCACTGTGTCCCCCTGCCTTCCCCTCGGCACCTGGAAGCATCATCGCAGTGTCGCCCGACTTTCCTGATTCGCCTTCAGTTGCCACACTGACTTCTCTTAGGACATCATGAAAAAGTGCTTGTGACGGCAGGCGGTCCCCTGGTCCTCGGCCGGGAGGCCTGGCGCGGGGCTGAGGGGCCATAAGCAACATGGAAAGGTGGGAGGAAGGACACTGAACCCCCCTCTTCCTCTCCAGCCTCTGAAAGGCACTCATTTGGCATGTTCCGTTTTGGTGTCTAAAACATACATTTGCATGTATCTAGTGTAAAGCAACAAGTTTGGGGAAATAAGTGGAATGGAGAGGCAATGTTCCAGTTAAGATGGTTCAACTAGTGTCAAGGTGATTGGCAAAACTATGAGCGTTGCTAACGGGGGTTGGTGGCGCCTCTGCGCTGTGCAGGCAGCTAGCTGACCAGGCTCTGAGAATGAGAGTGGATTTCCAAGGACAGGATGCTCATAGGGTTTTGTTGCAAATTGCACACGGTGCAAATGTTTGCAAGCCCTGGGAAGCAGGGGTTGGGGTGCGTAGGAGACCAGGCTGCTGGGACCATCTGGGCATCAGCAAGGTGACCGTGACAGGAGGCCGCACTCAAGCACCTGGTGTGTTTTGTGGGGTCAGGGTGGCAGGACGGGACCATACGGAGAGGAGATGGGGAGCAGGGGCAGCATCGATGGCAGAAAGTGAAGAAAATGTCAGCATGTCGCTCTTTTACACCTGCCAGGCTCCCCCTCAGCCCCCACACCTCACGGGGTGCCCTGAGTCTCTCTTTCAAGGCTCCTGGCAAGGAGGCCCAGGCTGCCCAGAGGTTTGCGGCGTCCCCTTCAGCTGAGGCACCGGGGGTGGTTTCAGGAAGGCATCTGAAGGCATGTGCTTTCTGCTGGGCAGAGACTGGCAAGACGGCGCTGCTCTCCTGGCATGGGGTCTGTGTGCGGTGGGAGTGGGCATCCTAGCCTGGCCTGCAGTGCCAAGACCCCACGCTGGTTTCTGGCCCTCTACTTCCCCAAATTCCTGTGTGCTCTGACCCTCTCGCCCCAGTCCTCATTCTCCAAATGAGTATGAAATAGAGATGTTAGCGGGGGGGGGGGTTACTTCAAATGCCTGCCTGCTCCCCCAGCCCCTGCAACTCCGTTTTCTTATTAGTGCTCCTGACAAGAGAGTGGGCACAGCAGACGCGATACCTGATTTAGCAAATTACAAAAATAAGTGTCAGGCAATCATGGGCATAGGCTGCACGGTTAAGCGAGGTGATCCTTGGAGCCCCCACTGCTCTCTCCTGGAGAGGTGGGGGGGGGCAGGCTCCAGGCAGGCTGGGCTGCCAGCTGGGCGTGGCTGTTCCGCGGGCCACTGGCTCCTGGGCTGAGGGTCTGGCCCTACAGGTGAACCTGCTCACCTGGTGACTTTGGCTGGCTGCTGGGGGGAGGGGGCCCATCGAGGAGCTCTGAGAAGCTCCCTGAGCCAGGTTGCAGGGGCTGCGACCACCTCGAGGGTGAAGGGGGTGGCAGGATGGGCTCACGGAGAGAGCAGGGCTACATCCCCAGCTCATCTCCACCAGCCTCCCTGGGGGCATGTCTTTGGCTGGGGAAACTGTCCTGGGCTCCCCTGGCTGACCCCTGCAGGGTCAGCAGCTGGTCGCTGGGTCAAGGTTGCACTAACATGACCTGGCCAGTCCAGGGAGCTGTTCCTCAGCTGAAGGCGGCACCATGACATTGCCTCTGAGGTGAGATGTGGTCTGGATGTCAGCCCAGGGCTCGGGCAGGACCCCGGGGTCTTTGGTTTGTTGAGCGGGGACCATAGGCATTCGGGACAGAGGAGGATGGAGACCAAAGAGAGCCAGGAAGAAGACCTCAGGGGAGAGAGAAGGCAGAGAGGGGCTCCTCCCCAAGCAGGACCCTTGTGAGCTGGTTTCTATTGGGCAGTAGCAGGGATCAGTAATTAGATGGGGACCTATGATGCTGGGTGGCGGCGCTCCGGGCTCCGCTGCCTCGGCTCCCTGGCGGGGCCCCCACCGGGTGAGCGTCAGTTCCCGGGCACGCTGAGGATGAAGCCCGAGCGGTTCTTGGTGAAGTCGGGCTGTGGCTGGTTGAGCCTTGTCTCCACGGAAACGGTACACTTCTTCCCATGCAGGCTGCACTGCACGGGGTTGGTGACGTTGACTTGAAGGTGGCGCTTCTCACTGGAAGAACAACAACAAAACAAGACCAGATAGGCAGTCAGCAGGCAGCCAGAGTGGGGTGAACTTCCCGGCCACCCCGGGGCCCACCGCTGGCCAAGCTCCTGTGGGCCTCAGAGGTGCCCCAGGGGACATGGGCACCGGAGGTCTCAGCCAAGGGCTTCGGAAGCCCCAAGAGAGGGGCAAGGACAGAAAAGGCTAGTGCTGAGCTGCAGCTTCAAACCAGAGCCTCAGAGGGCAGAGGGGCTGCGGTCAGGCTCCGGGAAGCCAGCATGTTGAGTCGCAGCAGAGGAGGGGGCGAGACGAGTGACACGGACTTAAGCTGTCAGCAGGGTGGCTTGTCATAAGGAGCCCAGGATTCTGAGGCGTGACTGTTTTTCAGTTATCTTTGATTGCAACAGGGAGCCCTGGGAGGCTCTGTGTCCAGGAGTAAATGGAGACGTCCCCCCCACACTCTCCCTGATGACTGAAAGGTCTTCTAGGAGTCCCAGTTTGCCCCTGCCTGTCACGGGGTCCAGATGTTAGAATTGGGTCTGAGTCCTCATGCAGGTGCCTTTCATCCAGGGCACGGGGGCCTTGGCTTTGCCACTGAGAACCAGAGCCACTGTGCTGGTGGACCCCACCGCCCAGGTAGCTGGGGAAGGCAGGAGGTGGATGCCGCGTGAAGACCTGTGCGACAGCAGCTCACACTTCCCCTGCCTGGGAGACCATGTCGCCGGCTGCCTGAGGGGAGCTCAGCCAGGGCTCTGAGTGGGGTCCACACCGAGGAGGCCCGAGGTGTGGGTGGTGGTGAGGCTGTGTGCACCTGCTGAGTAGGAGCAGACGCCATCCTCCGGTTCCTCATGCCACCCAGAATACACTGCAGAAGCAGCTGATTTTAAGAACCAAGAAAGTTGTTGAAATAGGCTGGCACCTCAGGTGGCACAGTCCCACGCTATGCCTCATCAGCTATCTTTGCACTGGGAGGTGAGCGGAGAGAGGAGACAGGCCTGCAGGCCTGGGGCCTCCAGGTGGGACGGGCTGGCTCAGGTCCGAGTGCCGTGTATGCCTTCATTTCTCTGGGGCAGCGTTCGGGACGTGGACAGGCTGGGCCTCCTTGAATACCCTGCTGGGATCTTGGACTAAGGTCGCTGTTAGTGTTGAAGAGCGAATGCAAAGTGTCTGCACGGCAGAGGGGAGGCCAGGCTGAGGCGGGCACATGCTGTGCTTCCCTGGGCCACGGTGAGTGAGGCGCTTTCTAGGCACCTTTTCCTCCGGCCCTGACTGAAGCAACCCATCCTGGCCACCAGCCAGCACTCAGGCCTCAGGCGCTGCTGGCCTCACACTAGAGCACCTGCCCCAGGCATGTTTCCCCGGGGTGCCCAGCGCGCACACCACACAACGCTCCCCACAGTCTGGGAAGTAATGCAAGGTGTTCTCATCCTGTTTCTTACCTGCTTTCTCATTAAATGTTGTAGAGGCAGCAAATGGACACAGGAAGAGACCCATGGTTATCATTTGTGGGCATTAGGTGTCTAATACTTAATGTCTTAGCTGCAGTTAAAACCTTGGCTTAGACAGCTATTTTTAACCAGACCTGGACATAAAAATAGCAGAGCCCATCAGAGGCAGTGACTCAGGTACTTCTCCATTCCTGCGGGATCCAGGCCTGCTGTGCAGCGGGTACATGGCTGCTGGGTCTGGGTGTGGGGCCATGAGGCCCTCGTCCTGGCCTGGAGCCAGCAAAGGTCAGCACAGCAGCCTTACCTGCGGCTAGACATGCCTCCGGGACTGGGCTTCCCACCGGCCAGATCCTGTACCTCCCGCTGCTGATTCCCCAGCTTGGGCAGCCTTCCTGTCAGCCCAGCACCGCCTCTGGGTCCCTCCATGCTGGACTTGCATGCTATGGAAGAGGCCCTGGCAGAGGCCTCCCCGGCCCTGGCCTCCTCTAGTGCTCTACCAGGGACGGGCTCTGCCGCCCACTTCCTGCATCTGCCTTCCCCTATCTGTGGAGCCTGGTACAGCAGTGCACACACGGTGGGTTCCAGAACCACCTGGGGAAGCAAAGTCTTAGGGAAAGGGTTCTATTATACAAGGGTCACATTCCAAGTCCACTTAAAAAAACTAACAGAGAAAAAGAGAGAATATGAATTACTAGCCCACCCTCATGTTCATACACTCAGGACATGCTACTTTCAGTACAGTCCTTCTGACGGGAGACCCCTTCCCGGCCATGAGTTCAGTGTCAGCAGAGCGCATCTCGGTTCCACCCTTCCTCCTTTTGGGCTTTGTGCCTCTCTAGTATTTGTCCTACAATCTTGGTGCAGGGCTTGGGCTGGTGGGAAAATGAAGAGGAGCCAATGTATAGGACGGCATCCCAGGATCACAACGGTACAACCTCACCTTGAAAACGGAGCCCTTGGGGAGAGGGTGGGGGTTGCAGGATAAAAACCAGCAGCAGAGACCCACTGCACCAGATGGCTGGGCTCAAAGCATCTCTGCCATCCGTTTTGTGTCTTGTCCGAGAGCACTATGGAGTCAATACTGGCTGAGGCAGGAGGGACAGTCCCCTTCCTTAGGGAGCAGAGCAAAAGCAGAACTGTGCTCTGGGAGAGCCACGCTGATAAAACGTAACCATCATTTATTATTTTAAAAAGTAAAAAAAAATTTTTTTCAACTACAGTTGACATACACTATCATATTATAGTTTCAGATCAACAACATAGTGATTAGACATTTATATAACTTATGAAGTGATCACCCTGGTAAATCTATTGGGTTGTCAGAAAAGTCATGACGTATGTTTTCTATGTTTTTCGTTGCAAAAATGCGTCATGACTTTTCCGACAACCCAATAGTACCCATCTGACCCCATATATAATTATTACAATATTATTGACTATAGCCTCTATGCTGTATGTTATATCCCTGTGACTGCTTTTATAAGTGGCAATTTGTACTGATTTTTTTTTTTTAAAGATTTTTATTGGGGAATTGGGGGGATGGGAACAGTGCTGGGGAATTGGGGGAAGGGGAACAGACAAGTTGCTGTCGTTTTGTTCTTCAATCTAGTTGTGGAGGACGTTGCTTCACTGGCCCAAGTTGGCACCATCATTGCGCTCTTCTCTGGCGAGGCAGATCAGTCGCCGGCTTCTGGATGGCCGCTCACTGCGGCTGCTGGCCGCTCACGCTGGCTGCTGGCCACACACGGTAGCCCATTGCAATCCACTGCCACAGGGACTGCAGCCCACGCCGTCGCTGGCGACTCATGGCAGCCCAGCTCCAGGTTGAGCTGTTGTTCAGCATCTTAGCTGTGGAGGGCAGTGTTACTGGCCCTCACATGTGGGATCCGAACCAGGGCCCTCTGGCATCCCAAGCGAGTTCTCAACCATCGCGCCACTCGGCCGGCCCCTGTACTGATTTATTTCACTGAGCATAATGTCCTCCAGATCCATCCATGTTGTCACAAATGGCCAGATTTCATTTTTTTTTTATGACTAATAGTCCATTGTGTGTATGGACTATATATATTCTTTATCCACTTACGTTGCTTCCACATCTTGGCTATTGTAAACAATGCTGCAATGAACATAGGGGTACATATATCTTTTCAAATTGTGTTTTGGGTTTCTTTGGATAAATACTCAGAAGTGGAATTGCTGGGTCATATGGTAGATCTATTTTTAATTTCTTGAGCAACCTCCATAGCGTTTTCCATGGTGGCTGCACCAATCTGCAATCATTGATGATAGCTATTCTGACAGGTGTGATGTGATATCTCATTGTGGTTTTAATTTGCATTTCCCTGATGATTAGCCATGTTGAGCATCTTTTCATATGTCTATTGGCCATCTGTATGTCCTCTTGGGAGAAATGTCTATTCAGGTCTTCTGCCCATGTTTTAATAGGTTTTTTTTTTGTGTGTTAAGTTGTATGGGTTTCTTATGTATTTTTAGATATTAACCCCTTATTGGACGTATCATTGGTGAATATATTTTTCCATTCAGTAGGTTGACTTCATTTTCTTGATGGTTTCCTTAGCTGTGCAAAAACTTTTTAGTTTGATGTAGTCCCATTTGTTTATTTTTTTCTTTTGTTTCCCTTGCCCGAAGAGACATATTCCCCCTGTCCCCCTAAATATTACTAAGAGCAATGTCACAGAGTTTACTGCCTGTTTTTTCTAGGAGTTTTATGGTTGTGGGTCTTATATTTAAGTCTTTAATTCATTTTGAGTTTTTTCTTGTATATGGTGTAAGAAAGTGATCCAATTTCATTCTTTCACATGTATCTGTCCAGTTTTCCCTACACCATCTATTGAAGAGACTCTCTGTGTATGTCATCTGCACATAACGACAGGTTTACTTCTTCCTTTCCAATTCAGATGCCTTTTATTTCTTTTTCTTCTCTGATTGCTGTGGCTAGGACTTTCAACACTATGCTGAATAAAAGAGGTGAAAGTTTGCATCCTTGTCTTGTTCCTGATCTTAAGAACATTTTGAGCTTTTCCCGTTAAGTATGATGTTAGCTGTGGGTTTGTCATCTATGATATATGGCCTTTATTATATTATGTTCCCTCTATCCCCACTTTGCTGTTATTGTTTTAAATCACAAATGGATGTTGGATTTTGTCAAATGCTTTTTCTGCATCTGTTGATATTATGATCATAAGGTTTTTATCCTTCATTTTGTTTATGTGGTGTATCATGTTAACTGATTTGCAGGTATATATTTTTTTACAGTGAAAAACATTTTTATATTTAGAAATAGCCAACTGGACTCAGTTTAGATGATTCCAATTTTATTGGCAACATCCAAAGCACTGTAGTCAGGAGCCAGTTGAACATATGTATGCCTTCTTCTCTCCATCAGGCCTGATCAAGGTGTTGACCTTGGCCAGGTCAATGTCAAAGAGCTTCTTCACAGCCTGTTTGATCTGGTGCTTGTTGGCCTTGACATCCACAATAAACACAGTATGTGGTTGTCTTCTATCTTCTTCGTGGCTGACTCGGTAGTCAAGGAGAACT